AGCTGAGAAGAAGAATGAAGGTTCAGGGTCACCCGTGCAAATGATTTCCCCTGGTGTGAACTCCTCCCCTGGAGAAGTGCTCCCCTGAAGGTGAGGAGAGGAGACCAGCAGTCAGAGCTCTGGCATCAGTCACACATGCAAGCTGCCCGTGTTTCATAAAAAGCATCACCTCTCCTTATCATCAGGGTGCCCTGCTCCTCTGCAAGAGGACATGAAGCTCAGGTATGTCTCCTGTTTGCTCTCAGTATCCACAGAGTCCATCACTGGGGCAGGGCTGGGGCCCAAATCGATCATGTCCCATAGCCACTGGGCTCCATCCCTGCAGCAGCCTCCTGAGCTGGGAGGCTGTCCCCTTGTCCTCCTCTGAGCACTGGCATGGGAGAGATGCTCCCTGTGGCTTTCACTTAGGCTTGAGGAGATGCCAAAGTGCCAAAGGACAGTGCAGAGAAAGACCTGTCCTCGCAGCAGTGTTTTTCAAGTCATACATGATCATTTCTGTTTCTTCACAGAGCTTTCCTACTGCATCTTGTGAGGCCATACCTGTCTGCCTCAGGGCATGGGCACCCTACTCACCCAAGGTCAGTATCGTCATGGTGATCCCTGACACTGAAGCCCCCACGACACACCTGAAGGCCATGTACACATCGAAATGGGGCACAAAGGCGATTGCTACCCCAAAGAAGCCCTGGAGGAAGATGGAGATCAGAATGACTGGCCGGCGGCCCATCCTGGAGAGGAAGAGGGAAGACACAGTTGGTATCTGGAGAGGCCCCGTGGAGATGGGGAGGAGCCCAATGGGTTGCACAGTGACTGTATCACCCTCTCTTGAGGGTGATAGGGCTCACTTAGACTAGACCCCAGGTCGGCATGTGAAGCCCCCTACACACATACTGTGCCTTTCTCCCTTCTACCCCTTGTGTGGCCATGTCCTCACGGGACCTCAGGACTTTGGTCAGGGTCCCTGTGCGTGAGGAGCAGTGACAAAACGCACAGGGTGCAGTGCCCAGCCAGGCTCAGAGCAGTGTGCGAGCTCTGCACGGGCTCTGGATATGCGGTTTTGTTTCCTCACCTGTCACTCAGTGGCCCAAAGATCATGGATCCTAGGAACAGCCCCAGCATGTAGACGGACTGGGAGATGTCATTCAGGTCCTTCCTGTCACACACCAGGTCAAACTGGAGGAAGGAAACACGGATGCTTTTGTTCTCAACAGGCTGCAGATACTTTCTGATCCTCCCTCCAAGGATGTGAGTGTCCACTGTATGTACATAGCACACAGGTCAGTGGTGGGACTAGCCCATGGGGCTCTCAGTGGTGCCCCTCTCCAAGGAACCAGGACCTGCAGGACTCCCCTCCAGCCCAGAAACCCCCAGGGGAGCCTCCTGGGTGGCAATTTTTGCTTAAAGTGGGACTTGGGACAGAAGTCCCACCAGTTTCCTTCCTCCTGGAGTGCCTGCCCTCCCAGAGGAGAAGGGAGGAGTGCAGTCCTGACTCCTAGGCCAAGCAGTTTCTGTTAGAGGGATGTTCTGCAACCACCAGCACCCGAGGGCCTCTCTAGAGTCACATAGGGAAGATCACACATAGGAAGTACAAGAGAGGTCAGAAAGCACTGGAAGAAGCCCCTGTTGACCATTATATGTGTGGCTTCACAAGCTTTCCTGTGCTTGCTGAACCTGGTACCTCTGCACAGCGCGAGGAGCGGTGAGGAACTCATGCTGTTTGCAACAAGTTGAGCTGGAGTCGTAATGCAGAGACCCTGAGGCAGACACCCCACTGCTGCTCACCCTCACAGCTCCCCAACCGGCGTGCGAGCAGAAACCTAGCACTGAGCTCTGCCTCCTTCCCCTGGCCAGGGTGTCTGAAGCACAAAGCTGCACAGGAACAAGTTGGAAGGTTACCCCATAGCTGCAGAGGGTCACCTGGGGCATGGAGACCCCAAAGGTCCCACCAGGAGCAATTAATCTCTCCACTCACTCAGCCTGTGGCCCTGCTGATATCTATATCACAGCCTGCTTGCCTGCAACCACTTCAGAACCACAATAGGGGGCTGGGTGGTGGAGCCAAGGTCCCCAAAATACACCCAGTGTACATCTCAGCCCAGCACCAGCTTTAACTGAACTGCAGGACAGGGCAACTGTCTGCATGTCCCATCCCTTCCGCATCCCCAGCACGTCAACAGGCAATTACAGACCTCGGTCAGCAGGGACGGTGCCTGTGCTGAGGGGTACACCCAGCCACGGCTGCACTTCTCCGTGGCGTTCAGGCCATACGCCACGATGGAGTCGAGGTCCCAGTCCACTGGCGAGTACATGGAGCACTGCTCGTACGCCCCATCCGCATCCCGGGGCAGGGTGAGGTTCAGCTGCTCTTCCTCTGTCAGGTTGGGGCCGATGGCACGGATCCAGCTGGTGTCGCAGTGATGAGGCTCGTGTGGAACCATAAAAAGCTGGCAAAACTGGTGGAAAGACAGAGTGAAGCATGGAAGCAAGGTGAGCAGCACCAGCCATTTCTGAAATGGCCCAAACTCGCCAACTGCTTTCAAAATCTCCCCGACACCCGACATTGGAAGCTGCATCTGGAACAGGACAGTGCTGGGACAGGCTTTCCAGAGGACTGGAATTAATGTTTAAACCTTAGATAAGCCCTGCAGTTGCAAGCAGCCACCACAAATATGTGAAATCAGGATAGACTTAATGCCTGATGTTTTACCTGTCCTAAGTACACCATGTAATACATTAATCATCTCTGTGCCACCCACAAGCATAGGGTGCTGGCTGGAGCAGAAGGACCCTTGTTTCATGGAACCTGGCCACCTTCCAGGGCCAGGTGTCATTGACAGGGGAAAAGACTCTTCTCCAAAGCAGCTGCAAGCACTGCGTTTGCTGTATCACTGAGACAGTCCCCAGTGGTTCCACCAGGGAAAGCAAGGTTCAGAGAGGCTGAAACAGCCCAGTATGATGAAGCGCTGGGACAAGTCCAGGGGAATAAAGTGAGTGATGCTAATGGATGGACAGAGCAGGAGACAAAGAAAAGCGACCTGCTGGCTGTGGTTCCAGGTGACAGGAGGCTTCTTCTCCTTCAGCTTTTGCAGCTTCCCTGTACAACCACAAGCAAGCCATGCATGGGATGCCATCAGCTTGTTTAAGATTTCCCCAGTGCCCAACACCAGCAGACAGATCTGCAGAGACAGGCTTTCACAGGGCTGGAGCCAGTACCTAAACCCAAGATAAACCCTGCAGCTCTAGGCAACTGTCGGTATGCAAATGTGAAGACAAAGCAATGCTCTGGGTTGGGATTTGTACTCACACTGCATTCCCGTTGAGATAGAAATTTCAAGAGGTGCTCACCACCCAGGGGAGGTTCCTTTCCATCTGGAAAACTTCCTTCCTTCCTTCCTTCCTTCCTTCCTTCCTACCCCCCTCCCTCCCTCCCTCCCTTCCTTCCCCTGCCATGGGCAGGGACACCTTCCACTAGACCAGTTGCTCAAGGCCCCGTCCAACCTGGCCTTGAACACTGCCAGGGATGGGGCAGCCACAGCTTCTCTGGGCAACCAGTGCCAGGGCCTCACCACCCTCACAGGGAAGAACTTCTTCCTAGTATCTAACCTAAATCTCCCCTCTGTTAGTTCGAAGCCATTCCCCCTTGTCCTATCCCTACAGGCCCTTGTCAAAAGCCCCTCTCCAGCTTTCTTGTCCCCTTTAGGCACTGGAAGCTGCTCTAAGGTCTCCCTGGAGCCTTCTCTTCTCCAGGCTGAACAAGCCCAGCTCTCTCAGCCCGTCTCCATAGGAGAGGTGCTCCAGCCCTTGGAGCATCTTCGTGGTCTCCTCCATCTCCATGGTAGTGGCCCAGAGGCAGGTCACAGAAGTATTTTCAGCCTCATGGCAATAGGTCTGGTGACAGTCTGCCACCAGTCTCATCACCTTCACATGTGGGCAAGATCCTTCACTTTAGGTACCTCTTTGCTCTCACAGCCCAAAGCACAAACGCTGGCACACGAATAAATTGCAGCGGGGGATACTGGCCCTGACACTGAGGAATGGCCCAGCTACAGCTGAGGAGCTGTCAGAATGACGAGCTGGCAGGGGACATGCCTGCGCTCTACCTCTCACCATCAGTGAGTCCTGGCTCCACTACAAATGTAATGAGAGACCTCAAGGGCACCTCTGGATCAGATCTGCCCTGAAGCCTCAAATTCAGGAAGAACAAGTATTGTGGAAGTGGAGAGGAGGGAGTGCAGTTCATGCTCCAAACACTTCCCAGAGTAAAAATCATCCCACTTTTATACCAAGGCTATGTCACCCTGAGGCATTCCTAGATAGGCAATGCTCATTAGCAGATGCACAGGGCATGAAGAACTCGGAGCAAACCTTTCAGATGAAGACAAGCCCTCAGGATACAACCCCAAGTGCCACCCTGGCTCCATTTCTGCACACAACTCCCATGGAACATGCCAACCTCATCTTCCCATGGGCTATCAAACCTCCCACCAGCCAAAACAGAAATGCTCCAGGGGTTGCAGACACCACTCAGACAAACCCTTCCCCAAGATACACCATCCAACCCAACAACACACAAACCACACACCAAACACATGGCAATGGACAATTTGTTCTTTATTGATTAAAAATTAGAGACATGCAGTAAAATACAAAGTCCAAAAAAGGAAAAAAGCCTGAATATTTTACATCTTTCATTATAATCTACAATACACCAAAGTTGTGAAGAGGATCCATTTTCATTAACAGAGCATTGTTCTTCAAAGTAGGAACTAAAAATTATCACCTTATTCCAGGTTCAGATCAGAAATTTGCACAAAAACCAAATTCTTAATGACACTGGAAAACAATTATGAACAGCATTGGCACTTACTGGAACAACATCAGAAAAAACAGTTGTCTAGCACTGTAATAGCCCAAGTAAATATTTTGGATCCCTACCCAAAAACATCTGGAGATCTATAGAGCAAAAACCATGTTTCTTTCTTATTTTCTCCATTAAAGAATTTATGAGCCTTAGGTTAGGGTGACCTCAAGCTCTTAAAAGTCCTGGCTTTGGGAAGGTGGGGAATAACTTAATAAATAGACACTGCATTGTTCCATTTGAGCAGTTTGAGCTCTGCCTTTCTCAGCACCAGTACACGAATGAAGGAGGTCCCCATGGCATGCAGAGAGAAGGGAAAAATAATACTGTACCAAGACTACCTCATCCCCATATCCTAAGGGTTTCCAATACATACGTATCAAGCACAGGGTGACAAGACGCCAGCCTGCTCTTCCCAAGCCAAGAAGCTCAATGGGGGACACCATAGGGAGTGCTTTGTGTCAGACAACAGGAGGAAGCACCAGAGGTGCCACATGCACACACTTGGCCAAACTCAGCTACCACCAACTCCCTGGTATCAGGCACCCACTTCCTGGGCTCTGGAGAGCATCTGCTCAGCACCCTGATATGCTCTTGCTCCTAAACCCTCTTTCTCCTCTCCCTCCCCTTCACACTCACCAGCCACAGGGCTGCAAATAGCCCATGGGGACATACCTAATATCCACCTAGAGGCTAAAAGCATCAAGGGCAGTATAAAAAGAACATGCATAATTTGGGAAGCTTCCACAGCTGCTCATAGAGAACAATATATAAATACAGATTGTTCATCTGAAGACTTGGAAATAAAAGAAGTCCTAATTGAACTCAGTCATTCTGCTCTGTTTCTGCATTGTTTATGGCTGATGGAAACAAAACACGTTTCCATCTGTGTGTTAAATTACAGACTTACAATTTCTGTGTAGAAAACACTCCAGAGCCAATAGCAGTTACAAAGGCCAACTGTGAAACAGTAGGAAAAAAAAGTCAACACCATTTATTATTCACATATTGCATTACAAGTGTCTCTTATCAAACTCAGAGTATAATTTATATTATTCATGTAGAAACTCAACTTCAACACCACATAGAAAGAAAAGCTAAATAGGTGTGTGACAGGGTTGCAGTGACATCCTGATCAAATGTGGAGGCTCGGACCCACGGGAAGGCCGACGACCCGAGCGACTAGTGCAGGAGGGACACAGCCCGGCGCTCGCTTGCCCAGTACTGCCACTCTACTGGCGATTCTTTATTGCTGTAAAACACGACAGGGATGGTTCCACGGGTACCAGTTTGCAAAGGACCGGGAGACACGTCGGGAGGACTCACGCAGCCAGGCATAGGAGACTGGGCTTCAGGAACAGTCTGCGGTGCATTGTTTCCAAACACAGAGCGACACAGATCTCCTCTCCCTCTGATCACAAATATTGTGTTGATCGTCTGAAAGACCAGTTTCCAGACAGCGATGCCTCATGGGTCTGCTTCAAGAACAGACTACATCTAAGATGCAGAATGAAAGACGTTTTGTTGAAGGACTGCTTTAATGCAAACTGAAAGGTTCAGCCCTCATGCCACGCCTGGCACTCATGTGGAGAGAACCAAAATGGTAAAAAAAAAAAAAAAAAAAAAAAAAATTAAGGCAGTTTACAAAGGGAAGCTGACTTCTAACACCTCAAAGTCAAGGAACTTCTCAAAAACACAAACACAAGGGAAGGCGGCTCTCCCTCCCATGGGTTAAGACTTGGCTTGCTTTCTCAGGTGCAAGCATTCAAACCAGCAGTTTTAAAAACACACAGCCGAAGAGAAGCAGATTTCTCAGCACTCCAGGTGACCCAAACAACATGTACATTGGTGTTTCAGATAGGAGGAGCAGGTAAAGGACAAAAAAAAAAAAAATCCATTCAGTATTAAAACTTGTGCAAAAATAGCAAGTGAAAAAAAATGAAACCACATGTAAGCAAACATTTAGGCAAGATCAGAGCAGTGGAACCCCCTGCTTCGTACTCAGTAGTATTTTTCTTTAAAGTAAGGCAATAATAAAATGAACATGCAGGCAATGACATGTTGGATCTGCATGTTTGAGATGACAGATACAAAAACATGAGTTGTTTACAAAAGGTGTAAACGCCATCGGTAATTTCAGAAGGTTTGTGATCCTATTAAGGAAAATGTTAAAGCTTCTAGGAAGGGGGCTGTAGTTCAATTCTTTGGCAGTAGTGGTTTTTTTTTTCTTTTAGGCTAACAGAAGCATTACGAATATGCACATGTGGGTTCTCAGTTGGGAAACATCTCCTGGGACCATTGTTTAGCTGATGCTGAGCTGTGCAAATCCTATAAGTTTGCCGTCATCAGGAATATCTGAGCCTTCAACACCAGATGCCTGAAACACAAGGAACAGAGACCCAAATAGCAACACACATGTTCTACCTGCCGATATCTACCACCCTATGTAACACAACAAGGTATATCAGATATCTCCTCAGATATCCCTCCTCTCCTTCCCTGCAGAGGAAGCAGCCACAGGTATGCCTGTTTTTATTTGAAGATGGGAAGGGCTGGGACTGAAGTTTTGCCACTATCTGCTGTGACCAGGGCTATGTGCACTAACTGGGGTAAAATAAGTGAAACCTTCTTACAGAAAGAGTAAAAATAATGGCACTTACTGCTTCACTACCAATAAACTGGTTACACCATTTCTCCTCCTCCTAGCCTATCTTCTCCTAGTTTTGGCTTTCTTCTTTTGTCCATCCCACCCTCCCCTGTCTCCTCCCCGCTTCATTTCTTCATTTCCTTCTCAGAGGCAACATGTCTGGACCATCTTCATTCTCCTCCTCCAAAAAAGGAGTTCGTGGCGTTTCTTAGCCTACTTACCTGCCCTGAAGTATTTCTGCCCTTTCTGGGCAACTGTACATGCCAAGCCCAGAAAACACTTTTGTAACATTTTGATATGCTTATCAGCCAGGATAAGGGAATGTTTGTATTAGCACATCATCTCACACTTATTTAACCCAGGTGCTACCAAGAGGACACAAGCAGGAACCTGCATTGCCTACTGTTAGACAACCAGTAGGAAGCTTTGGGAAAGTAGGGAGAATTTAGAGTGCATACATGAGATGCCTACAGAAGACATCACAAGCACCTATATGCAATGCCTTCTCTTTGCAAGTGACAACTTGTTCAATTAGGGAACAGGAATAAATACCAGTTTGAAAGTGACGGATCTGTTGGTTTGGGGCTCTTCCACAATTTTCTGCAAATTAGCTGCAACTGAAATCACACACACAGAAAATGGGCAAATATTAGGACACGCTAAAGAAAAAGATCCCAAACTCATAAGGTCTTTTTCTATTACTCAACTTAGAACTTTTTAAAATGATTAAAAAAAAAGTTTAGGCCTCAATAAGACTCTATCTACTTAAACTTACTGCTTTAAACTGTGAAAATGCTGTCATTTCTTACTATGCTTCTTTTTCAGAGATAGTTACTTTTTCCTGGATGTGGTGGGATTAATAGTAATAAACTGCCCAGATGCACCCAGAAATCAAGTTAATTTTGCACTGGCGGCCTTTCCAATTGTTGCAGCCTGTGTATATGGAACAGTTTTGCTTGCTGTAGTTGAAATACATAGGCAGTGCTGACAGTTTAGAAGTCCCACCTGCCGCACAGAAGGACACATTTATTTAGCAAACTGTTGGTAGCAGTAGCTGTTCATACCCATGCAACACGTGCTAGTGCCCTAGTGCATGTGCACGTCATGCTTCCTTCCCCAGCCCTCCTTAAAAAAGCCTGGCTGAATCCAGTCCCAGATCTCTCTTGCACAGGACTCGTGAGAAGCCCAGGCTTGTGGAGGAATTTGGCAATGCATGTATGTCAGGTGACAGTGATTCAGCTAATACATCGATTAGCCTTCATTTTGCATTAAAAGGAACATTTGTTTCATAATGTTTCCAACTAGATCTTTGTCTTGTGGACAGTACAGCCTACATGTACTGGCACAGAACTGTGACCACAATTAAGAGCGGTTTTGTAGAGCACTAGGGTAGAGAACCAAGACTGCAGCAAACTCTCCTAGTACCCACTAATCAGGTCATTTTAAACATGCAAAAATGACTGAAATGGTTAGAGCAGAAAAAATGATATGTAATTACCTATTACAAGATCTCTGCCATCAACAAGACCTGCTGAAATGAGTTCTTGAGACACACCGTCAGCAGTATCTGTTGGGCAGAAACCCAAGAACCAGTCACTACATAACAAAAACTGTCCATCTGATGAAGGCATCACACAGAAACCTAACAGAGCTTATACAAACCAAACAGAAAAAGTGCTGTTTACACAAGACAGACAGGTGTACACCAGGTGCAGTCAGACAACTCTTGAGCTATACTGTCAAACTCTGAAATGGAATTCACTGAAGAGTTGAACTTTGGTGATATCCATGAACAGTTTTAATAGAAGGGTCTTCTCAACAGCAGTGCTCCAAGTCCAACCATAAGGCAAAGCCCTTTAAGTAGGCACTGTGGACAGACACTCAATACAGGGTTTTCATACACACCGCTGCACACCAAACACAGAACCTTGCCTTCCCAAAACCACCTTCACACACTGTAATTTCCCACCACCTCACCTCTCCCTGGGGTAAATTCAAATCGAATATCGTTGAGCTCTTTTTTTGAATTCCTGTGGAAAGAAGAGAATTTTACATATAAATGCAATGAATTGGTCTTTTCTAAGTGCCCAAAAGAAAGTGCTATTATTGAACAATCAGGCTGTGAAAGTGAATTCACTGCACCCTTCCCCCTCAAAAGCAGAAACTAATCACTTGGGTATGAATCTAGAAGCAGGGCTCCTGGCATAGTCTGACTCAGCCTGATAGAGCCCAAATGGGCTGAGGTCCAGGATGAGTGCCACCTGTCTGGTACAAGGCCACAGTGTTCCAGTGTCTCAGCAACCCATACCTATCAGCAGATATATCCTTAGAGAACATCCTTCAGAGGAAGGAAGCACTCAGGGACTGCAGATGCATATGCAACATTCAACTGTCTGAGAATGACTGGGAGGTGATGCTCAGAAGTCCCAGTCCAATGCCTATAAACAACTAAGATATCTGCAGAAACGAGGCAGATTTCTTAAATGAGAAACATCAATACATGTAATGATAGTAGAATGCACTTACAATACTTCTGCTGCCTATTTCAAGGAACACAGACCAGAATCCACGCCCTGAATCAGGTAAAAACTCTTCACTCTCAGCACTGGCTGAAGTTGTGCCTGAATAGTAAGGCGGTCCAGCACAAGGTGAGGATCCCTGATCCCCTTTAGGGAACCAAGCTATTTCCTCCTTTCCACCCTGTTAAGTCTTCCACCATCTGTCTCTACAAAGGCTCACTTTGACAGGTAAGTTTTGCATCCTTACCTCAACCTTAGTACAAGGCTGATGGGGACTTTCGTATCTTCCTGTACCGGAGCTGCAGCAGGGGCAGGTGGGGCCTGCAACAGGATGACATTGTTTTAAAGAAGATTAACACTTCCTTTCTCTGGTTTTAAAAATACAGGTAACCTTGATTGACTAGAAACACAAATAAAAGTTTAACCCATCATTGGAATCATGACCCTGCAGTGAAAATGACAGACTAATGAAATGGGAGAACTTCACACTTCAGTAATAACCCAGGAGGTGTTCTCTGCAGTTGTCCTGAAAAAATTAAAAACTACATATCTTTGAGAAATGCCAAAATGGCAGGAGACTTCAGAAGAAGAGCTAAATGCAAAAAGACTGCTTGCTTTGCATCAAAAGTTAAGGTTATGAGGCACTGATGACAGCTTCAATACCTCCTGTGTTTCAATCCCTGCCCCAAACATCTGATTTAAAACTCCAATACAGTTGTGAAGAGTACCTCTGAAATAATTTAACTGGCAGATTAGCATACACTTTTAGTTGCTTTTTTGTGAAATCAACAGCTTTAACAGCATCTAGCAACAATTTTATAGCTATTTTCACTTCTAAATTACTTCCGGGTAATTATTATAATCAATGCATTTTATATTGGCCAACAGCAGACTTCCAGTAGGAAAGATCCAGGCCATGTCCATCTTTATAGCACTTGTGATACTTCCAGTAAATGGCTATTTGTTAATCTATCTCCATCAAAAAACCCCAAACAAAAAGAAGGGTCAGTCACTCTTCCACTGCACAAGTCATCTGTACTGCACAGGCTGAGGCAGGAATTTTAGATCTGCAGTAGTAAGACAGACTACACTAGGCTGATAATTTAAGTCTAGAAGTTTTGACCAAGTTTTTTCATCTAGATGACTCGCTTTTTCATGAGAGAAAAAAAAATAACCCTTTAAGACTAGCATTTTACTCCAGCTGTTGGTGATCCTGTGTCAGCAACAAAGCTCAAGGCTTCCGATATCAATCTTGGTTCTGTTGAAGCTGAAAGCTTTACCAGGTCAGTGAAAACAAATGAGGGTTCATACACAAGCCCAGAGGTCTGCAAAACAGTAACCAGAGCTACAAGAACAAGGACAGCTATAAAGAATAACACACTGATACAAAGAGCTGTAAAGAAGAACACATTAACAAAAAAGAGCTACGAAGAACACACACTGCCAGAAAGGTATGAAGTTCACCTTAGGACGAGGTACCAACAAATAAATAAGCTACTGCCACTAGTGGTAGGGAGCAAGATACTCTACTAGCGCAAATCAAAACACTTTCACTGAGACCAACACTGCTACTTCATTTTACTGAACTGAGAATCCTGGCCTTCACTGCTTCATAAAATTCAGGGATTAAACGCTGGCCCTTTTCCAAGAGATTTGAAGGGGGTTGATTTAAGTATTAGAGTATTAGTGTAGCCAAGAATATGTCAGCCCCAACTCCACTATTTTTTTTTAATGGCTAATGCACTGTCTTTAGTAGTTTCATAAACAGGAACATGAGCTGGCTGCAGTGAAGTGATACACCTATCTTCTGTGTTCTTTAAAGTAAAAATAATGAAACATTTCTAAGAGTTCTTTTGCTAACCAATACTGCCAAGTCTCTTCCCCTTGGATCTGCCAAAGGGTGTTGGTGGCTTGGCCCCTTCCACAATGACAGCCTCTCCCCACCAATAAATATGAACATTAGTGTTTTCTCTTATAAAAGAGAGGAGCCAGGAGTCTGGCAAACTTCGCACTGCTTTACTCCAACAAACAAGACGACATGTTCCAAGTGCCTCAGTAATAATGCGGGTTGGCCCTTTTTCTCTTTGTAACACAAGTCAGAGCTCTTTCCTGACTGTGCAATGCCTATCTGACCTATATCCTACACATTTGGGGTGATGTAGCTAAGAATTAAACACAAACTTGTCAAGCTTTCATATTGCCTGCAGTTCCCCATAAAGGTCCATTCTCCCCTCTCTGCTTGAAATGCAAGTGTTCGAAAGCACCACAAGGTTCAAAGCTTCCCAAAGATGGAGTTTCTCTGCAATTTTTGTCTGCTACAATGACAGTTTTAACCTAGGCCTTCTGTCTCTCTTCTGAAGTCTGGAGAACTTGCACGTTTTAGTTTTTTCCTCTCACTTTTTTCTCCACTCTTATTCTATAGATGTCACTGATGCTGAGACACACCTTAAATACCAGAAAGAAGCAGCTGACACTTAAATGAGACTCTCCTTTTTTTCCTTACCTTTAACCTTGCCTCAAGCCAGAGTCCACTCCCTAAACAGCATAAAAAGTCACTGTTCACCCACAGAAAAGCATGAAAAACTGGCACACCTGGCACACCCACATTGACTATGTTCCTTTCACAAGCCACCACACCAGCTGTCACTTCTGCATAAGCAGCAGCATTAAATCAACTCTAGACAAGCAACTTCCACAGCTTTAGATTGTTTTAGCTGTTCTATTCCAGACTTGTCAGGAGCAAAGCTGAAAGCCGGTATATGAAGGGTGTCTGATCTTACCTGGGCTGCTGCTGGGGCTGCTGGAGGAGCCTGTCTAGGTGGAGGTACAGCAGTTTGAGGTTGTGCAGGTACTTGTCCTGCAGCCTGAGGTAGTTGAGTAGGTGTCTGTGCTGGAGCATTGAGTGAAGGACCTGGAGGCTCAGCTGATGGGAATAGCTGCAGTCAAAAAGGTGTTTTAATGAGAAAAGGAACTCCAGAGTTCTGACTCAAGCACCAGCTTCCCAAAAAGCACTTGTTTGCTGCATAAATCAGAGATGTTCAATGACAAGGGCATTCCCAGGCTTCCAGGACACAAACAAATTGGTGTTCAAGGGGTTTAAAGTGTTCTTCTGTCCACAGCTCCCCTCTGCCCTGACTTCTGCAAGCTTTACTCACCAGTACAGAAGGATAAGAAACCAAGATACCAGCATGACTGTGGATCATGGACAGAAGTTACACTCTGCAGCTAGCAAGGCTGGATGCACACAGATCACATCCTAGTTTGGATGATGAACGCATCCTATCCTTTAGTTTTCCCCCTTCCCAGTATCCAAGCCCTACTTTTATTTCCAGGTAGCCATGCAGTCACAGCAGAGCAACTCTGCTTTGATTTGTAGTTCCTTTCAGAGAACACAGCCTAGCAAAGCATGAAGATAACTATCAACGTCTCCATTCATAAAACAGATGTCAGAGGCAGAGTAATCCAGGTATTCTACCAAAAAGCGAATTCAGAGTCCTTCGAAACACACAAGATAAAACTCTCTAGATTTGGACTTATTAAAGATTTTTAAACAATTGTATGCAATTAATTTGAGGGTGGTGGAAAAAGAGCTAAATGACAGCTTGATTTTTTACCTCTTATGTTATTCAGAACAGGGAAACCGATATTGGCATGGTAGCCAAAGGACTAAGTTTGACAGTACTTCTTGATTGTGCTCTCCAACTTGGAGTAAGTGGTAAGAAATACAAATCACCCCGAATATTGAAAACCTGGACAGCAGACCTCCACATGACAATATATTAAGGCATGTATCATAATCCCAAAAGGATTCTGATTTTCAGCTTTTTCTTTGAATTTAGAGTTTATGTCCAATTACGGTGTCAGAACTGTAGCCTTTCGCAAGATCTCCCTTTATAATCAATCCTTGGAAACAGATGAAAGAAAAACAGGACTAACCCAAGACTAATTTCTAGGAGACAGCTCTGTTTATCTTTTCACACAGGTAGAGAAAAGACAGACATAGCACTGCCTCTAGAAGATAAGCACTCTCTATCACTGAAAGATAAGATATACTAATATACCTAATATAAGAAACACCAGACAGAACTGAAGACAGGTTATAAATTGCAACTGAAGTTTTCTGTTATCAAATACTACCACAGATTTATTTCACAGTTCTGAGCATAGATTCCAAACCAGTGAATTAATACTATGCAAAACAGACATTTTAAAGATGTGTTTTGTTGGTCATTTGTTGGAGTTCTTTAGAAAAGGAAATAATAGAATCACAGAATGGTTTGGGTTGGAAGCGACCTTAAAGCTCATCCAGTCCCAAGCCCCCAGGGACACCTACCACTAGACCAGGTTACTCCAAGCCCCGTCCAACCTGGCCTTGAACACTGCCAGGGATGGGGCAGCCACAGGTTCTCTGGGCAACCTGTGCCAGGGCCTCACCACCCTCACAGGGAAAAATTTCTTCCTAGTATCTAACCTAAATCTCCCCTCTGTCAGTTTAAAGCCATGTCCCCTTGTCCTGTCCCTGCCTGCCCTTGTCAAAAACCCCTCTCCAGCTTTCTTGTTGTCCCCTTTAGGCACTGGAAGCTGCTCTAAGCTCTCCCTGGAGCCTTCTCCAGGCTGAACAACCTCAGCTCTCTCAGCCTGTCTCCACTGTTTTGAGATCATAACACCATTGTTTTGCTTAGGCTATTCTTGTGACCAATTGCCCTGTGTTCAGCTACAGCAGTCATTTTTTCTCCTTCTTAGTAGCTGGTGCAGGGCTGTGTTTTCGACTTTCAGCCTGGGAACAGCGCTGATAACACCGATGTTTTTAGTTGTTGCTAAGTAATGTTTACTCTGACCAAAGACTTTCTCAGTCTAATGCTCTGCCAGGGAGGAGGGGAAGCCGGGAGGAAGCAGAGACAGGACACCTGACCCAAACTGGCCAAAGGGGTATTCCATACCACAGCGCGTCATGCCCAGT